ACATGCATATATATTTATATATATATATATATATATATACAAATATATAAACACACACACACGCAGCATGCATACACGGCATGCACAGCATGCTCACACACACACACACGGTTCACGGACACACACACCACACACGCCTGCACCCCGTACACACACACACACACACACCCACGAACTCGCCGGAGTTCGTCGTCGGAACCGGACATGCATGCACAAAGGATGGCAAGGGTTAGGGCTTGAATAAAGGGTCCTAAAACCTCACAAATATACATAAGAACTTACCCAGATGCACTGCAGCAGGTTTTGGGAAGAGATGGACCTCGAACTCGTCGGAGTTCGTCGTCGGAGCTAGATTATTGGCACAGAGAAAAACTGAGGTCAAAACCCTCGAGTTTTGTCATAAAACCAACATGCATAACCCATAAATTTGAAGAAGGAACACACTTCTCACCTGGGTTCGAGTTTTAGAGCTTTGAAGCTCTCGGCTTCAATGGCAGAAAACTCCACGATGCTCTGATGGCGCATGCAAGGGTACCATTGCGCTCGTTAAGTCTCAAGGATTCCAAATATATAGATTTTGGGCTTGATTTGTTGTTGATTCGAAGGGAAGAGAGGTTGGGAGTTCTCGGAGCTTAGAGAGTTAGAGAGAGAAGGAGAAACAGAAAAGAAGAGAGAGAGAGAGGTTCTGAGATGTGTTTCGGGAAGAGAGGGAAGAAGAGAGAGAGAGAAACTGGAAACCAAGACATAAAAAAATAAGGCGGGTCCCACAGCTCTCCAATTAAAAACTAAAGAAGTCATTTTAATAAGTAGAAAGTGGGTGTGTTTGTAACAGTACAAGTGAAACAGTAGTTAATATTTGGGAACCAACAGAGCTCCTTATTCAGGGGGTTTGTTTCTGTTTTTCGCAGGAGAATGATTTGGAGCGATTCAGAGAGTTAAACTTAGATATCGAAATTAATGGAAACCCATTGGTATAATTTCTTCATCTGAAATTTTTTATTGCCCAATTGGTTGTTTCATCATTTTTCTAACCATTCGAATGCTGGGAATGTTGGGTTTCTTACGGTTAAATCTTTGCATGTATTTTTTTTTTCTTTCTAATTTTCTGATTTTCAGTTTTATCTTTTTTTCTTTCTCAATTATACCAAGATATTGTTTAATGCATAGACACATAAATGATTCAAAAAATGGGTGTACCAAGAGAAAAAAAAAATGTTGGATTGTCTGCAAAGCGCTGAACCAAAGAGAGGAATATAATGTGTAAATATAATTGGTTATTCAAATACGAACTTCTTTGCTTAATTGCTAGAATTTCAGTATAAATCAGATATTAGTTATTTGACCTTCATTTACCCTCTCTCAAACCCTAGCAGCCACAACACCAACTCTAGCCGATCCTTCAGAACCCAAAACTGAGCCCATCTCTGCAATAGCATCGGCTTCTCCAGGTTTCTCTCTTAGCCTCGGAAAACTCAGTATAGTTTATGTGAGATTGAAATTAATTCCTATCTGATTTGCATTTATATGAATATTCAATATACTTACAAGTATTGTGTAGTCTATACCCAAGACAATCACAAAGAGACGTGTCCCTCACAATTTTGTAAATTATATAGCAGACACCAAAAGTTTTGTTTTGCGGAGCGAGTTTTATGGTTTTGCAGCATGTTTTTTGAAGTTACTTATGTTCTGTTATGTTATCCCTCAGTTTTCTCCAAACCCCCATTTGATTTGTCATGAATCTTTATGCTTTTTTTTTTTTTTTTTTTTGCAGGGATAAATCAAGACGGGCTCCCTGCCGGTCAGGGTGTCTTGCCAAGTACAACCAGGTCACAGTCATGACTCATGGTAAGGCCTCCTCCCTCTGATTTTTGAGCTTCTCAGCTTGCATCGTCTGTTTTTGCTTTATGGGTTTTGTTTGAAATTGCATCTGCTTTTGATTGGTCCCGAATATGAAATATGCTCTGTTTGATCCCAAATAAGAAATGACATAGGTCCCGAATAAGAAATATGCTCGATTTGTTCCTGAATAAGAAATGACATAGGACCGTGGCTTCCATCGTTATTAAGCTATATCCTTTTCTACTTGGGTTACAAAAAACCATTATAATGAATTAATTTGCATGGTCTCACAAATTTTTTATTCCCCAATATTGGGTAAACACCAGAGTAGTCCGTAATCGACTTTCAATTTCATTTTTTTGTTCCGATTACCCTTACATAAATGTATTTATGATCTTTTAGTTTGAAGAGCCCAAATGTTGTTGCAAAATGTGCTATATATGGAGTAACTAATGTCTTTCTTACTTATTGGTTGGGCTCTTCTTTCTTTATGTGAGGCATTGATTTCTTAAACCCGGGTTGAAAACCCCAATAAGATTTTTTGTTCTTTTAAAAAAAAAAAATTCCATTACAATAATTTTGTATCTTTTGGCTGATTTTGTGGGTCTTTCGTCAGTTTTTGTTTAGTTTTAAATGTCAGAAGCTTTGAATTTTTTTGGGCTCAATTTTAAATGGGTTGTTATCAACCATTGAATTGCTTTCAGAGTTTTCATTTGATAAGAGAGATGGGGGGTTCTTTTGGGTTAAACTTTTGATCCGTCGGATTTTTAGTTAGGTTGTGTCCACCCTAATTCAAGCTTTCTATCTTCAGATCACCAGCAATAATCTCATCAAGGTCCCAGGAGGAATCACGCGAATTCACTGCCGAATTGGTATGTGTACTTATGCTTTTGCAAAAAGCCCTTTTCTTGCCATTTTTCTGTTTTAGAATTGGGACCAAAGTAATTATGAGTGATTTTGACAAACATTGAGATAGAAAAAATGGCTATCAAGCAAACAGCCCGTGAGTATTTAAACATATAATTTTCAGTCAAATGAAATAGTTGGTACCACAAGCTTTTAATTAGGGAGGAATGTTTGATTATATATTTAAATTAAGCAAAGAATCTTCCATAAGAAAACGATCCAAGTTGAAATAAACCAAATATATGGTGCAACATCAATATCTTAGTCACTTTAACTATTAACAATGTTTTCTGCCTTTTCTTATTTAAATTTTATTGCCCCTATGTGTTTCTTGAATTTTGTAATAGGGATAGATAATGATGTGATTGTCCTATATATATTTTGGTAAATCATTTTTCTTAAATCCTTCTGTTATCATGCTTGCTCTAGATTCTGCAGGGTTTTTTTTTAAGTTTATTTGGTTGTTGGAAAAAAACCGTGAAATGAAGGGCTCCAGAGTTTGATCATTTGTGCCTCAAATTTGGTAAGGTTTCTTTCCCCTATATAATTTTGATTGGTACTTATAGATTTTCATCATAAATTATTGTATTCTCTTGCAAAGTTCATTTTTGACACTTATGTAAACTTTAACCCACTTCACCAGATAACTTAAATCTGTTTTGTTTGATCATTATGTTATAATATTCTATGTGGTTGCAAGTTTGAAAAATGGAGGGAGACAGATCAGTTATGAACAAATTAGCATGGATCATCCTAATGCTATATAAGTTAGGTTGCTGATTTGTTTCCTCATTTCTTCATTGGTGATTTGTATTTTCAGTGACTTTTCATTCTTGGGTAATAAGTTTTGGTCAAGAGTTAATGTGTTCAGTTCTTTTTTTAATTTCTGTTCTGTGTGGTTCTGTGTCATGTGATTCGAGGTTCCAAAAGAGAAACATTACTTATTTTATTTGGTCAGAGGAGTGGGGAGGAAGTTCTGTTCAATTTTGGTTTTTCCGATGGCTTAGGAAGAAATTATGTCACTATTGATATTGTAGGTGTCCAGCTTGCAAAAATTACAAAGTATGCTACAATAGATGTATCCCTTGGTTTGTCATTTTGTTACTTGATTACTAAGGTTATATCTGGCTGCCCTATGCTTCGTTCTACAATCAATTTTTGCCATGATTTTAGAAACAGTTTAGGGTGCATGTGGGGATTTGATTTGATTTCTGATAAGAGGCATGAAAGTAAGCAAGTTGTTGGTAAGAAATCCAAACAATTGTAGTTGGAGGAAACAAATTCTTTATTCCTCATCTTTTGTAAATTTTTCAGTTTGTGATTCTCAAGAGTGTGCATATAATTTTTGAACAAAATGCAAGAGTTCAAGATTTTTAGTGTTGTAAAACCAATTTGCTTTCAGAGCGATCGATTGGGCATCCATTAATGCAATGTTTTTATAATCTATTAAACATTCCCGCAGCAACGCGCGGGCAACCGTTCTAGTTAAATCTAAAATTAAAAACTAAAAGCAAAAACGCTATTGGGCAATCTCAAAAATACGCACGTTGGAGAACTGTATCAGAGACCTGTGCGGCCCTATGGTTGAAGTTGAACTACGGAGAGTAAAAATGGTGTATTCAATTGAGAATTTGAGAGATTTTAATGGATTTATAAATTGATCAATTTTGTGAAGTTTAATTGATTTGTAGAGATTCTATATAAAATTTTGATTCAATTCCCTCGAAATCTCATGGGAAGATGTGAGATTTGTGGATGCTTAAAATACACTACGAATTCCCTCTAATTCCTCAAATTCTTTAAAATCAATTTCTAATTAAATACGTCTGGAATGTTTTAAATTTCTTTAAAATCCTAATTAAATACACTCGGATTTCTAAGGATTTTAATAAACTATCTTAAAATTCTAATTGAATAGACCTTAAATTTCAGAGAATCACTTAAAATTTTGATTGAATACTTCTAGATTCATTAAAAGAATTAAAATCCCTCAAAATCCCAATTGAATACACCCTCCTCCAAAGTTTGACAAAATTAAAGAATTTACTGACTAACAGCGATCTTTGCGTGGCAGCAACTGAACAGCCGCAACCACTCCAAGCCATTACCTCAGCCGGTCGTAGCCCTACCAGCCGTTCCCAGGCCAAAGCGCGGCGGTCTCAGGCGAATCCGGTCCCGCTCCCGGATCGCGAGTTTCCTATTTGAAAAATATTTTCCGTGTTTCCTATTCAATAAGGTAGTTTCAATTCAACTTGGGGAATATATCTTCTTACCTGCTCATATAACTTCCTCTTTTTCTCAATAAAATCGTCACTTGTCTCCCATGCAGTCACAGACGTTTTGAAATTTAATATATATATATATATATAACTCTTCTATCTCTTAGGGTTAGGGTTTGAATTGAATCGAAAAGAATCGATGGCTCCATCGTTGATCTACAGCTTCATGATGGGAGGGACGGCTATTCTTGCAGAGTGCCCCAATAAACAGGATCAGGAGGTTGTGGCTTCCCTGGCTCTGAAATGGCTCCCGACGCTCCCCCGTTCAATGAATATGGTCACTTACGACCGTGACGATGGCTACATCTTCAACTACCTGATTGATGGGAGATTGAGTAATATCTCCATCATGTCTTTGTGTTTAATTTCCCTTTTTGCTTTTTTTGAAGTTCACATTTTTCCATTTATTTTTTAATTGTTTCGATCGGTGAACCCAAAGGTTTTGGTGTGGATGATAGTAAGATGCGTGATTTTGTTGGTTTCAGAATAAATTAGTTATTACTTTTATCTGAATGTTGGATTTGTTCTTGAGAGTTCTCGAAACATCATTGCAGTTGCTCCTTGTCTAGTCACACGTCTTTTTAGTTTGCTATGTGTAGGTCTGTATACGTGAACTAACTTGACCATTTCATTGCTGCAGCATACTGTGTAGTTGCAGCTGAGGCTATTGGTCGAGAAATTCCTCTTGCCTTCCTCAACAAAATCAATAAGGATTTTACTGGCAAATATTGTCGGCCGTTAGTTGAAGCACTATTTGCAAACAGTCTGAACAATGAATTAGGGTATCTGTGCTTTATCCTTTCTTTCATTAAAAAGATTGTGCCTTTCCCTTCCCTATGAGGTGCTCTAAAGCCTTAACGTTGGTTGCGAGGTTGTAGGTCCAAAATGAAGGTGCATATGGAACATGCTGAGGTGAAAGCTGCTCAGGTTTCAAAAGACAAAGAAGTTGCAATAGAAAACATTGAGAAGGTAAAGTGCCTTATGTGAACTCTTCTGATTTTGATTATATCTTTACTCTGCCAATCTATTTCGCGTGTTTAATATTGTTCTCGTATTGAGAATAGAATCAAGGGTTGTGCTTGAGAAGAAAATCGAGGTCTCCATCGATGATCTATAGCTTCATGGCGCACGAGACTGTGATTCTTGCAGACTGCTTGCTATATGAGGATATGGCCGCTTGCATGGCTGTGGATATGCTCCCTCTGCTCCCCCGTTCGATAAATAAGATCACCTACGACCGTGATGGCTACACGATCAATTACCTGCTTGATTGCAACTTCAGTAATACCTCTATCTCTCACATCTTTGTGTTTGATTTCGAATTTTGGGTCCAATAAGGGCTTGATCATGTATTTGATTTTTCTTTTTACTTCATTAATTGAATTGTTTCAAGGGATGGCGTATTTTGCTGAATCATTTGTTTCTTGTATTCAACTGGTTTAGACTATCGTCATTTTTTATGACCATCCTACAAGACCGGTGTAGACTTCCATTCTCGAAATTCCAAAAGTGTTTTTTTGATGGCCTGAGAAAATGTTTGGAATAAACTCATAATTGGTACTGTGCTCGATAAAAAGACCAAATATGATAATTGTTTTTATAACTGAACGAACAACATGTTATTTGCTTAAAGTAATTTGTCTTGTCAGAATGTTGAGTTGGTTCTTGAGATTTCTCGAAACATCTGTATTACTTTGATATTTTTTTTCATTCTCTGGCCTTTATTCTTTGTGCCCCTCATCTGTTTTATTGTCATATATAATTAGTTATTTTAACAAGTTGATATGCTCCTAATCTAGTTGTACGTCTTTTTCACTTTGTTATCTATGTATGTACGTACATTGCTGAACTTACTTTACCAATACCATTTGGGTACTGCAGCATACTGTGTAGTCGCAACTGAGGCTATAGGTCGAAAAATTCCTCTTGCCTTCCTCGATCAAATCAAAAAGGATTTAACTGGCCGATTGAGTAGAGGATTAGCTGCACCAACAGTTCCAAATAGTCTGAACAAAGAGTTTAGGTAGAGACTGATTGCCTTTTCTTTTCATTCCTTAAATTGATTGTGCCTTTCCTTCTCTAAGAGGTGTAGTGATGCCTCAACTTGGTTGCGATATCATAGGCCCAAACTGAAGGAGCGTATGAGATATGCTAAGGTGATAGCTGCTCAAGTCAGTATAGGAAAGGTAAAGGGCATTGTGTGGCCTCTTTTGATTTTATCTTTACTCAATTTGGCATCCATTTTGCGTGATCAGTATTGTCTTGCCTTTGGTTTTGGTTGACTTTGGCTATGAACTTATTGTTAGTTAGCAGGCAGTGTGTTCTATTTCATTTTCTCTCACTTTTAAGTGATTAATTGTTAACATGTTTATATGTTGTACTTTATAGCTTGTTTGTAAATGGTAATCACTTTCAGGTCTTGCATTTCTGATTGATCATTGTAGGATGATGACAATGACGATGACGATGACGATGACGATGACAAGGACGATGACGATGACGATGACAAGGACGAGGACGAGGAAGACGACGAGGACGAGGAAGACGATGAGGAGGAGGACGAAGATGAGAAAGAGGTTGAGGAAGACGACGAGAATGGGGATGAGTGAAAAGTAGACTTGGGGGACAAGGAATGAGACCTGCGCTGAACTTTACGGCGTTTTTGGATCTGGCCTTATTTGCCTATGTAGTCAACTAGATATGGGAAAACTGAAATGCTGCATGTTCATAGTTTTCAACGATTTGATTTGAAATGGTGAAAAAGTTTGAAATATATATATATATATATAATTTATTTATTTGGGAATTCAAATAAATTTATTAATAAGAAAAAACTCTGAAATGCAACACTCACCAAGAAAGAGCCCAGAAAGAGCAGCAACACGAAGGAAAAAGAACCCAGGACACGCAGGTCCTATAATAAGGGCTGGTTTGGTATTGTTGTGCTTTGAAAAAAAGTTGATGTGAGAATAAGCGGCTGTGAAATAAATTAGCAGTGTGTTTGGTAAACTTTTTTGTAAAAGTGCTTTTGGAAAGAAAAAAAACAGTCTGATAGTGGGTCTTTTCATTAAAGAAGCACTGTAGCTCCGTGTGCTTTGAAAAAAAAAGCCAGTTTCCAAAGCTGCAAATAGCAGCTTCAACTTTTCTCTTTGATTTCAGCTTATTCTCACAACAGCTTCCAAAATAAGCCTTTTTTTTTCAGTTTACCAAACACCTAAAACTCTCACAGCTTTTTTTCATGGGTGCTTTTTTTTTAAGCACCTCACTCCCAAACCACCCCTAAATCTACCCAATTACATAGGGAGCTGCCAGCCTGTCACTCAAGAAATAAGCTTAATCCTAACAATGTTGATGATGATCCTTAAAAAAAACAATGTTGATGATGGACAGTAAAGGATCGACATGGGAGGCAACGACTCATTTCTATATTTTAGTAAACGCATGGAACTCAAGAATCAAAATTTTGATTTCAGTTCCCATTCTCTGGCTCCCTCGTTCCTAACTGAAACCTTTATTATCAGATTTTCGAGCATCAGCCCGGAAGCAAGTTATCAGTCCCAAGCTCGTCTTATTAGTCATCAAGGGCGAAGACCATTGACCACTGCTGCATAACCAAGATCACCAATGACCTGGAGCAGACTGGACTTGAGGGATATTAACGGTCCAAAAGCTTTCGTCTTTGAAAAATTATCTACACTATTTTGTATGAAACAATACCACTTCTCCTCTCAAGGATTTAAGTTTGATGTCTATGCAGGATTTGTCTAAGAATCATGCCTGGAGAAGATTTCAAAATATTGTCAACATCAATAAAAGTGTCAGTCTTGTTGTCAATCATGGCTGAATTCACACCCCAATTCTCAGTGTTCATTTTCAGACTGCGTAAAGATAGAGTTAAAAATCAAATGGGTGTAAAAATAAATCCACATTGAATTGGGTTTATGGGGATATATTAGGTATTAAATTGGGTTTAAAGAGATATTAATACTTTAGTTAAAAATCAAATGGGTACAAGGAGTAAGTTGGGTGTAAAAATAGATTGCATGGGTTTAAATAAAATTTCCCTTTATTTTTTCTACTACCAATCTGATTTAATTTTTAGACACAGCAATATGATTTGTTAGTTGGTTTTCCTTTTCCTGTTTTTTTTTCCTGTTATCTTTAGGTTTAAGGATTTCTCTTTCCTATTTAGAACTTAGCTTTTTGTATACGTATATGTATATATAGACATGATTTATTTTCCTCCTTCCATATCTATATCTATATATATATATATAGGTTATAAAGCCTAGCTTTCATCAGCAAAGTTTAAGACGTCGACACAATCTGGTGGATATCTCAGGCTCTCTCCCCAAAGCTGCCGCAATGTTGTCTGCGTCTTCCAAACTAAAACTAAGTAGGAGGAACCCTCGAAATCCCCAGCCTCCTCTCTGCAGATTTCACACAGGGCCTCATCCTAGAGAGACTCATGCAACAGCGGTTCTAGAGACTCCAGAGCCTTCTATATGCAGAAATTTGTTTGGAACTCCCCGTGAGCCGCCTCCACCGAGTCGACAACTTCCTCCATCGAGCCGACAGCCTCCTCAACCGGGTCAGAAGACTCCTATTAGTAGAAATTTATTTGGAACGGAACCGATTTCAAGGCCTACTACACCAGTTTCAGAGCCTTATGAGATCACAGAGACTTCGTCTACTTCGAAGACCAAGAGCAAAAAGAAGAAAAAGAACCCTACCTTGGCTAATCGCATCATAAATTCTTATAAACCTACTCTGCCCGAGAACTTTGGTTCCATAACATCCGAGGTCTTTGGTACCATAAGATATAAACCAGAAGATATTAATTCCATCATAAAAAATTTCGATGACCTCAGCCTCGCCACCACTCGCTTCCCAACCCTAAAAGAGGTTTTTACAAAAACATACACTGAATACCTTGAGGTAACCCATGTTCCTCGTGAGCGCTTAATAGAGATAATCAATGCTAAACTAGGTGCAATCCATCTATCTTACAACAGAAAAGAGTTGGAGGACTGCGACGTGCGGACAAGGACAATGTATACATTCATGAGATTGATCGAATTGTGTTGCGTGATGATAAAAAGCATCAAGTCCAGCGGAAGTTAAGCAATTCAGCTCAACAATTGATTTTTCTAAGGACTTTTGAGGTTCTGCACAGAGTTGCTATTCTCTTGACGACTAATTCGTTTCTTACAAAACGTGGCTTATTTTATCAAGCTCCAGATTTGTTTGGGAAACAAAGAGTTTCAGATGACTTGATTGAAGATGTGTCATGTATGTTAAAATGCACCCGCGAAAGTCTCCATATCACTGCTGCTAAGACAGGTGAAGTGATTGGTGACTTGTGGTTTAATAAAGCTGATGACAATGAAGTACATTGTAATGGTGGAATTCAAATCCCACAAGATGCAGAGCACAAAAAAATATACGTACCCAAAAGGCCAAGTTTATTTTGTTAGTGGAAAAGGATTCTATTGTCACTATTTTGAAGGGAGTAAAATTTTGTGACAATGTTCAATGCATTATTATTACCGGAGAAGGACAACTGTCAGTTAATACAAGATTGTTTTTAAAGACTATTCAAAGCGCGTTGAAGCTTCCAGTTGTCGGTCTTTTTGATTGCAATATCAGAGGATTGGAGATGCTATCCATCTACCGTTGGGGGTCAAAAAATAGGTCTTATGAGAGTGCAAGATTGGCAATACATGACATATTGTGGATGGGGTTAAGACCGTCACAGTTGAAAGCATATAAGATACCAAGCGGTTGCATTAAAACTCTCCGAGATAAAGATTATAAGAAAGCCGTTCAGATGAAGCTTGAATTGCAATGGCAAGGAGACACAGAATGGCTTAAGGAGCTACAAATAATGATGTATAAAAAGAAGACGGCTGAACTTGAGTCCTTGAATTTTGACAGCCCAACAGGCGTGGTACAATATTTGATTGATAGACTAAAAGATATGGATTTTATTGGAAACCCATTAACCAGCAAATATAAGAAGCATTGAAAGTCACGATAAAGGATTTATAATTTCTAAAGTCTGTGAAGCAACATAGCTAGCATGTACAAAAGTGAGTGAAGAAGGGCTTCAACTGCGATTGTATTGTATCAAGTGAGCCACTGATCATATTTTCTTATCTGTGTTGTGTATTTGGTGGGGATTGGGAGAGAATTAATAAGGTGTGGTTTTTGAACTATGGCCTTCACCTTGACTTTGTACAAATTAAAGGTGAAAGATCTGATGCTTCATAGACATTAATGAATTGGTGTATATATAGTTAAGAATTGGTATATTTTGTTTCCTGCACGAACTTAACATATATAAGTGCATCGTGTACAAACAGTAATGAATTATGCATGTACTCCTAGTGACCTTACAAGGTAAATCACTAAAATGTACACTTTTTGCAGTATATTAGGTATTCACCAGTCCTATACCACATTGGCATTCTTGCATTCAATTGCGGTTCTCTGTTTTTTTAACTCTTGACTTTTATCTGTTTATGCAATTTTATAATTTTCTCAACTCAAGGACTTAATTACAAAATGGTAATGGTAATGCTCCTTGACGGTCACGCCACAAGCAGGGCCAGTCTTGAGTATTGAGGAGCCCTGTACACAACTTAGATGGAGGCCCTTTATTTTTTTTTAATGTTATATTTCTTTATTATTATTATTTTCAATTTTTTCATCTATAAAACTAAAATATTATAAGTTACTACAACAAAAAAAAGTTGTTTGATCAGCCAGGTGTTTTTCCTTACCTTCAAAGGTACAATATCACTGGGATTCAAACCCATCACATGGGCTATAAGAAAGAAGAGCTAAATCGTTTGCACTAGAACCATATATAAGATTATCTTTTGCATCTAATCTATTTTATATGCATTTGAATACATGTAATGAAAATTTAGGGGCCCTTCCGAATCGGGGGCCCTGTGCGGTGGCACATGTTGCACACCCTCGGGGTCGGCTCTGGCCACAAGCGATGGTGGTGGTTGTGGAGTAAAAAATAATTCCAAAAAACGTGGAGATGATGTCACATCCCGGCCCAGGGTCCACCACATCCCTGGCCCACTCCACTACCGTAGCATGATATTGTCCGCTTTGGGCTCCGACTACGCCTTCACGGTTTTGTTTCTAGGAACTCACAAGAACTTTCCAGTGGGTCACCCATCATGGGATTGCTCTTGCATGTTACTCGCTTAACTTCAAAGTTCCGATGGAACCCGAAGCCACCCAAAGCCAGTGAGCTCCCAAAATGCCTTATGCTAGGTAGGGATGAAAATATACATATAAGGATCACTCCCCTGGGTGGTGGGATCTTACAATCCACCCCCCTTAAGGGGTCCGATGACCTCGTCGACACACCACGGACATGGTTAAGCTCTGATACCAATCTGTCACATCCCGGCCCAGGGTCCACCACATCCCGAGCCCACTCCACTACCGTAGCACGATATTGTCCGTTTTGGGCCCCGACTACGCCTTCACGGTTTTGTTTCTGGGAACTCACACGAGAACTTCCCAGTGGGTCACCCATCATGGGATTGCTCTCGCATGCTACTCACTTAACTTCGGAGTTCCGATAGAACCCGAAGCCAGTGAGCTCCCAAAATGCCTCATGCTAGGTAGGGATGAGAATATACATGTAAGGATCACTCTCCTGAGCGATGTGGGATCTTACAGATGACATGTAGATTTTTGGACAAGAAAGATGAGATTACCCTTGAGGCATACCGGAATTCCAACGTGCATGCAACGGACAATAACGGCTCAATTAAGGAAGAGTCAAAAGTGATCAATGTGGATTTTATTTCGGGTTAATTACACTAACACCCCCTAAGGTTTATCGAGTTTTCACAAAACTCCTCACCTTTGAGATATTACACTAACACCCCCCTTAAGGTTTTAATTTCCTTTCATATAACCCCTTGAGTAAAAAATCTAAGAAATTTACTATTTTACCCTTATAATTAAAAAAAGTTTTATTTTTTGTCCAATACGAAAATCTTTATAAAAACATAAAAAAAATATCAAATTAAAAGAAGGGAGTTTTAATGAAAAGGGTTTAGAAGAAGATTATTTTAACAAAAAAAATCAGCCTAAAATATTCTTTAACCAAAAGCTCTTCAAATTTAATCATAAGGACAAAGACCCTAAATTATACACGGGCTAAATTACAGACCCAACCCCCTCAAATTTAACTTTCCATAATTGCCCTACCATAAAGAGAGAAGAAGAAAAGTTTCTCTCTCTTCACTCTCACCCCACGTGGTCTCACCCTTTCATATTTAGTTTTTTATTAAGTTGCTATCCAACGAAATTGTGACAGCTAACATCTCAACATGTTTTAAGAAATTATGTGGTGCCCCACCTCCCTCCTTTTATGCCTCAAATCCCTTAGCTCTCTCCCTTTTTTTTTCTTTTTTTTTAATTGTTGTTCAAATGCTTTTTACATCATATGTTTTACACTTTTATTTTGTTTTAAATTTACAATAAATTCATATGATTTCTGTAAAATATTTCTTAAAGTACTTAGAGTTGTAATTATTTAAATTTATATTCCATTCTATCAAATTCACCAAAGTACTAAAAATAAATAATAAATTTATTTACTTATGTCTAGTCCGCCACCCGACTAGCACCTAACGTTTTTTAGGTCTATTACAACCCCCTCAGGTTTGAGGCCTATTACAACCTTATACAATATCTTTAGAACATTTCACTTTCATACCTCACCTACTATTTTATTTCAATATAGTACATCTGTTACATTTTTCATCCATTGATCCGTTAAGAGCTGACGTGGTTGCCACATTTGTGCCACGTGGTAAAAAAAAAATTTACCCATTTAAAATATTATAATATTTATTCTATTTATTAACAACAAAAAAACAAAAAACAAAAAAAACCCACACCCACACCCAGATCTTCATCCTTCCCCCTCACCTCTCTACAACCCTAGACCCACTTCTCCATCCACCTCTCCAATGGTTTCCTCCTCCCTATCCCTCATCTCCCCCACCCCCCACGTCGACAAAACTTTTGTTTTTAGTTATTTTCATAGTTTATGAGTCCCTTCTTTCTACTCGCCAAAACCCAGAACGGGAAGCCCTTCTTTCCTTCAAAACCGCCCTTAGAAACCCTTAATTCTCCCCTTGTGGTGGCCTTCCACCATGCGTTACAACTGGGTTGGCGCCCCTCCCGACACTCTCCGTCAAAGGCCCGCTCCCTTCCTCTTCTTCGTTGTGCTGGACCTCTCCTCCAACGTACTCCGCGACAAATTCAGGCATCCGATCTCAAAGCTCCGCCTCCTAATTGTGGAAATTAGGGTTTCTTTTTCCTGAAAATTTCAAATTATTAGTTGTTTGCAACTTCGCCTTCAGGGATGGGGGGAGTAAGTTGTGGTTTTGGTGATAAAAGGAGGGGGGACGGACGAAAGGGGGAATAAAGGTAAGGAGAACGGCAAAAACTTGCTCTAGAACGTAGATAGGGAGGCAGCGTCGGAGAAGTTTATGGTGGGTTTTTGGGGTTTTGGGTAGGGTGGGGGGGTTGTGGGGGAGGTGGGGATAGGGGAAGGGGTGGGAGCCAATGGAGGTGCGGCAGCCGGCAGCTTTGTGGGATCTGAGGAGAAGGGCGCCATTTTTATGGGTGTGAGTTCTTTTGGGCATCGGCTATGGAGAGAGAAGGGAGGGAGGGAGGGAGGGAGGGAAGGTGGGGTGTAGGAGATGGAGGTGAGTTGGGGGGGAAGTTGGGTTCTGGGAGGGAGAAGAGGGGTGGGGAGGGGTTGCGGGGAAGGTGGGGTGGGTTCTGCATTTTTCAGTTTTTTTTTTTTTTTGTGAGAAGATTCAGGTTTTTTAAAATAAAAAAAAATTTGCCGCGTGGTACAAATGTGGCAACCACATCAGCTCTTAACAGATCAATGGATGGAAAATGTAATGGAGGTACTATATTGAAATAAAATAGTAGGTGAGGTATGAAAGTGAAATGTTTTAAAGATGTTGTATGAGATTGTAATAAAGGAAAACTAATGAAAAGGGCTTGAAAACTTTGAGTTTTAATGATAAGGACAAAATAAAGGGTAAAGTGAATAGTACCACGATTGACTTTTTAGTGTAAAAATGTGGTTTTTCGTTAAAGTGAACAGTACCGGGTGCTTTTCGTTAAAGTTCCCATTGTAATAAACCTCAAACCTGAGGGGGTATTATGCAATTTACCCTTATTTTTTTGTTCAAATTCAGAATTAGTGTGAATTATTTTGTTCTAGTTCCTAAAATAGTGTTTATTTTATTACCTTTCATAAATAGTGTAACTTTCAGAAATAGTGTGGCTTATTATGTTGTAGTTCTAGAAATAATGTGAGTTATTTTGGTTCACTTTCAAAAATAGTGTGGGATATTATGTTATAGTTTTAGAAATAGTATGATTATTTTTGTTCATTTTTCAGAAATAGTGTGGGTTATTATGCTGTAGTTTCAAAAATAGTTTGGGTTATTTTTGCTTACTTTCATATATAGTGTGGATTATTATGTTATAGTTCCACAAATAGTATGGGTTATTTTGGTGTAGTTTCAGAAATAATGTGAGTTATTTTGTTGTAGTTTTGGAAACAGCATGAGCTATTTTGCAAAAATAATGTGTCATTTTGCTATAGTTCCACAAATAGTGTGGATTATTTTGGTTCAGTTTCAGAAGTCGTGTTTGTTATTTTGCTATAGATTCAGAAATACTGTTTATTTTGTTCCATTTCATAAGTAACGTGGGTTATTTTGCTATAGTTTAAAAAATAATGCAGGTTGTTTTGTAGTAGTTCCAAAAATTGGGTGGGTTATTTTGTAGTAGTTTCAAAAATAGTGTAGATTAGTTTGGCTCAGTTTCAAAAATAATGTGAATTATTTTGGTTTAGTTTTCAGAAGTTCTATAAATAATACAAGATCACTCCACCAAATGACAAAAAAGAATATGTAATCACACTTTTGGACTTATGTTCAACAAATACTTTATAAAGATTCAATTTTAATTTTATTGTTTGACAAATTTTTTGTTTTTTAAATTTTAAGTTGGAGCAAAGACACGAGAACCCCACTTGAAATGGTGACTTCAAATTTCAATAGTAGTGTCTTTGACTGCATGATGACAACGATGACCGTGAATGTTGGATTATTTTTAGAGAGTTCTTGAAACATCATTGCAGTTGCTCCTTGTCTAGTCACACGTCTTTTTAGTTTGCTATGTGTAGCTGTGTATAGCTGAACTAACTTGACCATTTCATTGCTGCAGCATACTGTGTAGTTGCAGCTGAGGCTATTGGTCGAGAAATTCCTCTTGCCTTCCTCAACAAAATCAATAAGGATTTTACTGGCAAATATTGTCAGCCGTTAGTTGAAGCATTAATTGCAAACGGTATGAACAACGAATTAGGGTATCTGTGCTTTATCCTTTCTTTCATTAAAAAGATTGCGCCTTTCCCTTCCCTATGAGGTGCTCTAAAGCCTTAACGTTGGTTGCGAGGTTGTAGGTCCAAAATGAAGGTGCATATGGAATATGCTGAGGTGAAAGCTGCTCAGGTTTCAAAAGACAGAGAAGTTGCAATAGAAAACATTGAGAAGGTAAAGTGCCTTATGTGAACTCTTCTGATTTTGATTATATCTTTACTCTGCCAATCTATTTCGCGTGTTTAATATTGTTCATGTATTGAGAATAGAATCGAGGGTTGTGCTTGAGAAGAAAATCAAGGTCTCCATCGTTGATCTATAGCTTCATGGGGCACGATACTCTGATTCTTGCAGACTGCTTGCTGTATGAGGATATGGCCGCTTGCATGGCTGTGGATATGCTCCCGATGCTCCCCCGTTTGATAAATAAGATCACCTACGACCGTGATGGCTACACGATCAACTACCTGCTTGATTGCAACTTCAGTAATACCTCTCTCTCATATCTCTGTGTTTGATTTCGAATTTCGGGTCCAATAAGGTCTTGATCATGTATTTGATTTCCCTTTTTACTTCATTAATTGAATTGTTTCAATGGATGGCGTATTTTTGTTGAATCAATTGTTTCTGTTGGATATATGTTAACAATCTGTGATTTAATTATATATATGCTAATAAACTATAAATGCGAATATAAAAATTATTGAACAGAGTACGAACAACGAAATAAATTTAAACAGAAAAATTGAAGATCAAGGCTTGCGTACCGCAATGTCCTTGAAACAGAAATTTCATCTTTACTCAGTGCTTGTAGTTCTATGGACGATCAAGTTAGAATTTCAGCACCGAAAAACTTAACTTCTGACGAATTTCTATGTGGTTCTCTCAAAAATGATGTTTGTGATTGTAGAAGAAGAATATTGATTTTCTGTGACCTAAATACCATGCAGATGAATGTATATATAATAGAAGCATGCCTGTTCGCAACAAGTATAAGAATGAGATGTGTCTGTTGGGAGACATCTTCTCCAGAGGGGTGCTTTGCTCTGTGTTCTTTCTGAACTCTTCAGACTTCATCTGAAATGATGAGTCAGTTGGTAAAAAATACATAATTAATTAAATGTGAAATTAATTATTAAATAATTTAATTATTAGAGCCCGAGCTCCAAGGCCCAAGGCCCATCTTTTGATAATTAATTATATATTAATTATAATTAATTACCAATTAATTGGTGCACTCCAAAGCCCAACCTCAAGGGTGAGCCCAATTTTATTCTCCAAACCTATTACTCCAATCACTTTCTATAAAGGACAAAGCCTTATAAAGTGATAAAATCTTTTGGGAATGGCCAATGTGGGACAAAGAAATTTTTACTCAAACTACTCAAATTTCCAACAATACCCCACATTTGAGTTGAAATTTTATTCAAATTCCAACAATTACCCCACATTTGAATGCAAATGTAAATGCAAATTGATGACTAAGCTACCTAAAACTGAGAGAGAATAGACATTATATGCATCGAGTGAAGTGTCTTTTGAACTTGAACTTACCCTAGTGAAAACATATCGGGTTTACTTGCTGACGCATTGGATGTAGAAGATCTTGAATTGTTCACCGCAGTAGTAAACCGAGACAATATGCTACGTACATATCATGTCTGCCACACGTTAATTCATACGGTTGTGTTCATTTTGACCTTGAACAGATCCCGGATTTCATAAGAGCTTTAGAGAATTTATCCATGTCAATTCTCATAAATGCGGCCCCATTTACTCCTATATAGGTGACATTAATTAAGAATGGTCTGCTATATTCCTCTTGATAACAAGATATTAATGTCATTAAATGTATAAAACATAACCCCTCAAACGTCAACAGACAACACAATTTTATCATAAGAATGGGTAAGTTGTGTGGTCAACTTTTGAATCAAACTTAACCAGTTTGCCTATTGAACCTAGACCATGGGATCTCCAATCAGCTAGGTTAGGTTTCTGCCCAGTTCAATTCATTGAATTGGCTTGAGACCCATTCCCCTCGATGATAATATTTGCTCTCTTAGTAGGCCTTTTGTCAAAGAATCAGCGATATTATCCTTTGACTTCACATAATCAATGGATATTATTCCATTGGAAAGCAACTTCTTAAGATTATTATGTCGACGCATGATGTGACGTGACTTCCCATTGTAAACATGACTTTTGGCCCTTGATTGCGCGACCATACTGTCACAATGTATATATAGCAGTTACCGACTTTGGCCACATGGGAATATCCTCCAGAAAATTTTTTAGCCACTCAGCTTCTTCGCCAGCCAAGTCTAAAGCTATAAACTCGGACTCCATGGTGGACCGAGCTATACATTTCTGTTTAGAGGATTTCCAAGATATTACTGCACCTCACAAGGTAAAAACATATCCACTTGTCGACTTCGATTCTGTAGTGTCAGAAATCCAATTGGCATCACTGAAGCCTTCTATAACAGGTGGATACTTTGTGTAGTATAATCCGTAGTCAAGTGTATTTTTCAAATACCTTAACACTCTTACTAAAGCATCACAATGCTCTTGTGTCGGATTACTTGTATATCTACTAAGCCTACTTACTGTATAAGCTAAGTCGGGCATAGTTGAATTCATCAAGTACATTAGACTTCCAAGTACTTGAGAATATTCAAATTGAGATATGGCATCGCCTTTATTTTTCTCCAACTTGCATCCAGCATCAAAAGGAGTTGCAGCAGGTTTGCAGTCAAATTGACCAAACCTTCGTAATATTTTTTCTGCATAATGGGATTGCATAAGAATCTTTCATGTCAAAACTTGAATTCAACATTTTCTTTGTTTTGTTTATTACATCTTTATCGCTTCCCATTATGAGCATATCATCCACATAAAAGCAGACAATAACACAAGTTTTATCATTACTCTTAATGTAGACAAATTTATCAGATTCATTTATTTTGAACCCATGTGTCAACAAAGTATGATTAAATTTCTCGTGCCATTGTTTTGGTGCTTGTTTAAGTCCATATAATGACTTAACTAATTTGCACACTTTGTTTTCTTGTTCTTTAAGCACAAACCCTTCAGGTTGTTCCATGTATATTTCTTCATCTAGTTCTCCATTTAAAAATGCTGTTTTTACATCCATTTGATGTATATCAAAGTTGTATACAGCCGCAATCGCTATTAACGTCCGAATTGACGTTATGCGAGAAACTGGATAATAGGTGTCGAAATAATTCAACCCTTTTTTTTTTACGATAACCTTTGGCTACTAAACATGCCTTGAACTTATCAATGGTTCCATCTGCCTTAAGTTTCTTCTTGAAAATCCATTTATGACCAATTGGTTTACTACCGGGAGGTAAATCAACCAATTCCCATGTGTTATTTTCCATAATGGATTCCATTTCACTTTTAATTGCTTCCTTCCATATAGGAGCCTCAGAAGAAGACATTGCTTCTTTAAAAATTTTAGGTTCATTCTCGGACAAGAAAGCAATGAAATATGGTCCAAAGTTTTTAGAAACTTTGATTCTTTTTCCTCTTCTTTGTTCCACATCATTTCCTTGGACACCAGAAGAAGAGGCTTCATCATGACTATAATCATGAACCCTCTTTGTATTACAATCATATTCCTTTTCTTTGTAAGGAAATATATCCTCAAAGAATTATGCATTCGCTGATTCTAATATAGTGTTGACATGTATATCAGAAATCGAAGATTTTACAACAAGGAACCTATAAGTAGCACTATTATTTGCACATCCAATGAATACACAATCAATAGTTTTAGGTGCTAATTTCGTTCTTTTTTGTAACGGAACTTGCACTTTTGCTAAGCAACCCTACACTTTGAGGGTTTTATAAGTGGGTCTATGTCCTTTCTATAGTTCATAAGGTGACTCATCAATCTTCTTTAGAGGAACCTTATTCAATATGGTATTTGCAGTAAGTAAAGCTTCACCCCACAAACTGTGTGGAAGCCCTGTACTATTTAACATGGAATTAATCATATCTTTGAATGTTCCATTTTTTCTTTCGGCAACACCATTTTGTTGTGGTGTGTATGGAGCCGTTGTTTGATGTATAATTCCATGTTGTGCACAAAAATCTGAGAAGACAGTAGACTCATACTCTCCTCCTCTATCGGATCTAAGTGCTTTGATTTTTCTCTCAAGTTGATTTTCAACTTCGGCTTTATATGTCTTAAACATATTCAAAGCTTCGTCCTTGCTATGAATCAAATAAACATAGCAATACTTACTGCAATCATCAATAAAAGTAACATAATAATTCTTTCCTCCACGAGTTGGTGTGGATTTAAAGTCACAAAGATCACTATGAATTAATCCAAGTAATTCATTTGATCTTTCCAGAATTGACTTTCTTGTTAGCCTAGCAAATTTCGATTCAGTACATGTTTCACACTTATGATTAAAATCAATTTCGAATTTAGATAATAATTCTAATTTAACCATTCTATGCATGGAACGAAAATTAACATGTCCTAATCTAGCATGCCAAATATTAGAAGACTCAACAATATAAGTAGAAGCATTTATTTTATTAGCATCATCAATGGCAATTACATTGAGTTTCATGAGGCCATCAGCCACATAACCCTTTCCAACAAACATTCCACCCTTGGTAAGTACAAATTTGTTGGATTCCATTACAAGTTTAAAGCCCTTAGCAATCAGAATAGGTCCAGAAACCAAGTTCCTCCTTATTTCAGGAACATGCAGCACTTTCAGCGAGGTGAGACTATTTCCAGATGTGAATTTGAGTACCACTTTGCATTTGCCCTCCAGTACAAATGAGGCAGAATTGCCCATATACAGCTTTTCTCTATGGGCAGCAGGATAGTATTCAGTGAATAGATTTCTGTCAGCGCATATGTGCTTAGTAGCACCAGTATCCAATAGTCATTCACTCACATTTGAGACCACATTGACCTCGGACACAACAGTAGCCAATTCTTCATTGGTGGTTGCCATGTTAGCATTGTTGATGTTTCCGTTGGATGATTTCCATCTTTGCGATGATAACAATCTTGTGCCTTATGACCAGATTTGCCACACACATAGCATGTGCCCTTAATCTTCTTCAGATTCTTGCCTTTGGGAGCAAGGGCGGATTGTACAAACTGCTTGGTTTTAGGAGCCTTATTCTTTTTCGGCTTGACCTTGGAATTTCCTCTCTCAACATAATTTGCATTGACTTCAATGGCAGCAAACCCTCCAGAATGGTCTACCTTTCTGTGGTCTTCTTCCACTCGTAGCCTCATGATCAAATTCTCCATATTCATCTCACGACGCTTGTGTTTGAGATAAATTTTGAAGTCATTCCACGAAGTTGGCAATTTTTCAATTATCGTCCCAACTTGGAAATGCTCATTGATCTCGCATCCCTCGAAGTGCAGTTCATAGATCAATTTCTGGATTTCTTCGACCTGAGAGAACAGATTTTGAATCCACCATTGTATATTTGAGAAACTTACCAATAACAAATTTCTTTGAACCAGCATCATTAATCTTATACTTTTTCTCCATGGATTCCCACAACTCCTTTGCTGTCTTGCACAGAGAATAAATGTCGTAAAGATTGTCATCCAAACTATTCAGAAT